ATTTACCCGTCGCGTAAATGTAAGGAAATAAATGTCTCTTTTACATATTGCATCGCAATGTGTAACTAGCTGGTTCGTATTTTAACATAAAAGGTCACTTAGAACTGTATTGCACTCCTTGCGACCCATCAGTATCGGAATAACTGCTTATAGCATTCCTTCCACGCTGCGCTGTTAACCTAACAAATACTGTATTGTTTGAAAGTCGAAATGGAGAAATTTTAGCATCAACAGTCGAAGCTTTCTCTTCCTACAACTTACGGAAGAGCAGGATGAAACTTTTCTTGCTCATCTTCGTTCGACGACAATTTCCTCCATTAGTAAAAAAAACTACGTCTAATTGAAATTGTGTTTGAATTGAATTGAAATTTTGTTCTTCTGTCTTTAGCATTAGTGTTTAGATGTAGGAAATAAAACTAACAATAGAGCAAACACAAAATTGGTTCAATAATCAGTGTATGGTATAAGGCTGGAAGGGTTCGTTTCTTAACCTACTATTGATGTCTCCAAGTTAAACTGTACTTGAATAGCTAAATAAATGATTAAAAATTTTTTATATTGTTATTACATTGATCACAAACCGTACTTAAGGCACTGCCCAAAATGAGGAATATACAAGGAGGTTCCAAAATGTAATACATAATATCTATATGTCCGGATTAACTGGTTCGTCATTTTCTATGGATTTAATTTAATTTTATTTGTATGCATAGATGATTAGATTAGGTTAGGTTAGGTTAGCTTAGTCCCATAGGAAGAGAATTTTAAAAATGCAACCTCTACGAAATTTTAATAGAGTTAATACATTTAATACATACCGTCATTGAATCGACAGAGAATCTACAAAATTTAACTTATATAATGCATAAATTTTTTATATTTTTCGGAAACTAACTCTTAATGGGATGTAGAGGGGCTGAAACCCTTAATGAAATAAAATATACGATTATACGCATATAAAAAGAGATGTCCCTATACTCCAACAATGTCTTATCCAGACATGGAAACAAAGAACATTTACTCCTGTAGACATTCCTGTAGATCCCTTTTTTTAAACAGTGTTAAGTTACTGTTTTATATTTAGTGTCACAATCTTGTAAAACAAACTGAAAATTTCAAATATAAAAAATCTTTTATTCCAAGAAAAGAATATATTAAAGCTGCTTCAAATAGTTTAATTCATAAATCCACTGGAAGTAACAAATTTTCGTTTAGTCTTGCTTATTTGATCTTGGTCTTGCATATTCAGTCTTGGTCTTGTCGTTCGCTCTTAGTGTTGAAAACGTTAGAGGCGACTGATGAGGACACCGGATATAGAAGGTTAGCAATGAAGAGGTATTAGAAAGACTAGGATAACAGAGTGGAAGTGATAATAGGCGATATAGGTTGGTAGGACATCTTCTCAGGCATGAATGTCTAGTAAAGTCTAGTCAGAGACATATTAGAGACAGAAACAGGAGTTAAGTGGAATAGAGGTAGACTTAGATTAGATTACTGTTCGCAAATAGTTATGGATGTGGGATGTTCTAGTTTTAGGGAAATGCGAAAATTAAAAAGAATAGGAAGGAGTGCAGGTGCGTGTCCAACCAGTCCTAGGACCTTATGATGATGATTGTCGAAAAACAGTTATCGCACTGTATCTTCAGGGAATTCCAAGAATAACCGAAGGACGAAATTTACTTAAAATAACCCAATAATTGTAGAATAATAAACCAAATGACTACCTACACCTATGTAATCCAATTGTTTTTATTTCCTGAGAATATATCAACAGCGGCTTAGTACGATATGTCTCTCACTTACATAACATGATTGGTTTCTGTTTTGCATCAACTGTTCCTGTAGACACTACGGAAAATTGGTTGGAAAATCTCAAATGCAATGCGAGAAGTTACACCCAATCGATTGGTGTATTATTAGTACCTACACGAGTATGTGCACGTTACACGTAGCTGTCATGGTGTGTGATGAGGCATATGAGGAGAGTGACATCGCGAAATGTGCGCACATTCTCGTTCTCTAGTTGCCTTCGCCAAGCAACCTTTGACGATATCATCGTTGCGTCCCGCAGATAAATTGCGGTGGTAAAGATGAAGCCTGGTGCTGTTAGCGCGCGAATTTATTGCGTCCCGATCTTGAAACATTATAACGCGCTCCTACGAAATGCCCCCACGTCAGATCATTACGACAAATTGCACCATTTGCCGTGATGCATCGCCATAATAATTGGAATTAATTTTGACACGTGTACGGTATGTGTGCGAAGCGAGGTAACATGTGCGCGCACGCTTTACGTCAAGGGCAGACGCTTGACAAGCTTTCGCTCTATACCTAACGCATTTAACAAATTCGAGAAAATAAATGCCGTTTATTTTGGAAACGCAAAACTATACCAGGCATTCTTTTAATTGAGGAGAAGGAAATTATTTACCTATGACGTCATATGTAATTGGCTGGAGGAACGAAGGCATTTAGAGAAGAGTATTTAGACATTTTTCAGTGGTTCATACTGAATATCCCATTGTATTAAGTATATCTATTTGTTAGCCAATTACAGGACCCTCGGGAGAACACGGCAACCAAAAGGGAAATGGACATGCACCGGCATTCATAATCATGTGTGCCAATTTGTTCAAAATATCATCATAAGGTCATCAGTCCTTAGACTGGTTGGACACGTACCTCCACTCTTTCCTATCCTGAGCTAAACTTCGCATTTCCCTAAAACTAGAACAGCCCACATCCTTAACTATTTGCCAAGAGTAAGTTCAAAATATATAAAATTGAAATAAATTTTTGTGAGATAGCCGATGAATGGTTACATAGACATGACTTGGACAAATTAGAGGGGTGGGGGCAGTTGCACCCAGGAGATACGAGTAGCAAAAGTGTCTAAAAGTTTGTTATGACTCAGATAAGTCAAAAGGGGGCACCTGCACGCAGGAGAAAGAAGTAAATGAAACCGTCTCAATGTTAGTTATGACTTGGGTGAGTCAGGAGAGCGGGACAATTACATCTAAGATAAACGAGTAGACAGAACTATCAAAATGTGATATTAGATATGACTCGGATGAGTCAGGAGGGGGAGCAACTGCACCCAGGAGAAACATGTAGGATCGAACTGTCTAAAAGTTGGATATAACTTGGATGTGTCAGGAGGGGGGGGGCGACTGCACCAGCCAGGAGAAATGAGTAGATAGATCTACCTAAAAGTAAGGTATGACTCGGGTGAGTCTGGAGAGGGGGGGGGTAATTACATGCAGGATTAACGAGTAAAAGGAAATGTCTAAAAGTTATATATGACTCCTGTGAGTCAGGAGAGGAGGGGTAATTACATCGAGGATAAACGAGTAGATAGTAGTGTTTAAAAGTTAAATATGATTCGGATGAGTCAGGGGAAGGAGCAGTGGCAATGTAGGCATATGCCTAGGGGCGCAAGGTTAAAAAGGGGCGCGCGCGGAAGTTTTTAAACCTAAAAGAAAAAATAAGGAAGTACCTAATAAAAAAAAAGTACTTTGCAAAATATACGACCGCCAGAGGGGCGCCTATGAGGTGCTAGCCTAGAGCCTAGGAGACAACACCCAGGAGAACAAGTAGATCTAACTGTCTAAAAGTTAGATATGACTCGGGTGAGCCATAAGAGGGGGAGGACAATTATATCCAGGATAAACGAGTAGATAGTACCTACTGTTTGAAAGTTAGATATGACTCGGATAGTTAGGAGAGAGGGACAATTGTACCCAGGAGATGTGCAGGTAGAACTGTCTAAAAGTTAGATATGTGAGTCCCCTTTGTATTCACGCCTGGGTTATAGTGGAAACATTTTTCTGACTGGAATATATAGTGTTCGATACCATCGACAAAGGTACCCATTCATCTAAATTTGGATTAGATTAAGTGCATTTATTTAGTCACAATTGTCAATAATGATAATTAATTAATTTTAATGTATCTAAAATTGAATTGTGTGCAACAAACGTAATATAATATGCCTACGAATGACGTTTTTAATAAATTTCAGTACGATCTTTATCATAGACCTCCCTCGATTTAAATTACTAATTTATAAGCAGTATGGATTTTCACAGATGCCTACGATTTCAGTTTTGATGTAATGTTCGAAAACGACCATGAATATAAGGATTAGCAGATGACCCAGTACATAAATAAAATGGTTTCACCGAAATTGATGGGCTTAAGCGACTGCGTGTGTTTTTTACGGGCAGTTAGCGTTTTATTTTCGGGCTTTTTTATTCGTGTGCTCGTTTAAAAATCTTCATCGCCGTCCTCCAAATTGGCTCTTAAAACGGTAAAACGGCAGCCACAACGTCAACGACAGCGGCACCTGGCACTCCAATTAATTAAATCGAGACAAACAATTGCTATAAGGAAACGATACCTGAATCTGAGACGGCCGTGATTGTGTAAAACAGTTAGTTTTGTTATTATTAATTTCGATATTGACATCGAATATTTTAGTTTACTAGAGTCTGCATCAGATTTTAGGGGTGTGGCATATCTACAGTGTGTTACGGATTTATTGAGATGCATTAACGCTAATACGAATGCATCCAGACGCGGATCGCGATTTCGATCTTGTTGGATCTCATCAGCGCGTTTGGAAGTTTCGACAGAACACTCACCACTTCGAATTTCTTTTTTAGATTTGGGTAACGTGCCTATTTAAATGGACCTTGTTGAGCATAGTGAATTCCACTAAATGCAGCATTTTACTACAGATGGCGTTTACCGCGCCATTTGTAGGATTTCATAAAACGCGCTGTGTTAAGGCAACAGGTAGAGTTGGTGCGTGTCGTGTCGAAACTGTCTGCTACGCGCTGGTGAGATCCAACAAGATCGAGATCGCGATTCGCGTCTGACAGTTTCGACAGAACACTCTGACCACTTCGAATTCGTTAGTTTATAAAAATAGCGAGCTTTCAGCTAATTATTTTGCTGCGATTTGAATACTTAGTAAATTAGTTAATTTTGATTTTTAGATGAACCAACTATGCAAGGTGTGCGGAGAGCCGGCGGCGGGCTTCCACTTTGGTGCCTTCACCTGTGAGGGCTGCAAGGTCAGTATTTTTCATTTCCTCCACCCACTACTAACCTCCGACCTCAATCCGTAAGCGTGTCTTATACTTACGGGCGTGGACGGAATGCACTTCAACTTTTTTAAAATTCAAAAGGAAGTAAAAAATCTTTCGCAGTTAGAATTACCAAGTAAAGGCTTTGCTTCACGAAACTGGACAAATCATGGATTCTTTTAGAATATCCGAAACCGTTCTTTAAAATTTTGGTTGAAATACACTGTCAGAAGCTATTCCTGCCATCCATACATAATGGTTGTAGAATATTCTACTTGAAGACAATTGTAGACATTCGAGAACATTCCGGTTGAGCTAGAAACATTCAAGAAACTTCTGGTACATTCTGATTTACTTTAAATTGGTGTTTGGTGGCCGGTGGTCAATCCACAAACCCACACACCCACTAAATTGGAGAAATTGTAGAGATTTCAAACATTTTTTAGAATATTTTGGTGTAATTATGGAAATGTTCTAAATCGACATCGCCACATATACAGATGTGCAACTACCATAGTACATGATCGGAGACTCAAGGCCACTACCCACCACACATAAACACCGGTGGTCTGCAAAGTGAAATATAGGGTCACATATAGGGACTATTATTATTTTCATACATATAATGATTTGTTTTAAACCGATGTGCATTCGGAGCGTGTTTTTCTAAAGAACGTAATCCATTATGATCTCACATACTGGGCCCGTTGAATCGTTAAAAATGGTATCGTCTTAACGATCGTGGCTCGTAGTAATGATAATAACAACAATAATAACAAAGGCTGAGAAATAGAACAATCGTTTTCGTTATTAAGGACGCGGGCATAAGTCAAATCATTGTGATTTCGTTCAGAGCCACGAGCACCTCTCAGGTCTCGATCGACTCTCGCTCGGCACGATTTTGACAAGCGACGAAGGAAATAAAAGAAAAAATAATAACAGAATTGAAGACGACAGCGCCAAGGGGCAGGTCACTCAGCCCAATTATTTTCGGTGATTAAGTGACCCACTTGTAACAGATAATAACCGCACTTCTAGAAGCAGTTTGACGGTACTCTGATGCAAAAAACGTAACACCTGTATTAAATGAAATTGAGAATTTATAATTACTCTTTGTAAAAGATAATTTTAATTTTAACTACAGTTGAACTCACTTATAACTAGCACGAACAGGATAAGAATTTTGTTCGGTACCGCCGTGTGTTCGTTACTAGCGATACTACGAAATTAAAAAAAAAACAACTTTTATATATCATTTATCTCAGAAATACACAAATTGGGCATAAAAATAAAACTTGTTCCCAAGGAAACTGATAAAATACATAGGTGCTACAGATACGTTTAAAGACTCTTAGGAAAAAACTGTTAAAGGCAATGTGCATACGTATAGGTACTACCATACTAGGACGTTTCAATAATTTCTGTTTTTTACTTACTATAAAATATTCAGTTGTTTCGTTTTGAATCTGGCTTTTAATAAAAGATTATTTCTCTTCAAATATAACTTTGTCGACGGTTTGAAACATACCTTACGTAGAAGGTTATGGAAGAATTTTGAATTTATGATTGGTTAGGTCGATCTTACGAAGAAATATTAGTTCGTCAAAACTGCAAGCAGAGATGTTAATTTCCTGTTCAAAAACGTTCGCTAAAGCTGATCGTTCTTTATAAATTCATATCTGTCTGTTACATCCAAGCATAAGTATCACGTGTTTAAATGGAATGTAATTTTGTTCTTTAAATTTCGTTCGATATAACCTAGTTCGACTGTATACGCACAACGGATTCTTAAAAACCTTAAAATGTTTAATAACGACTTTAATATTACTGGCTATCAAATGGATAGTTTGCGTTTTAAAATGATTAATTTTAGCTTTAACTCGAGGACGCACAAAAATAAGCATCATCATCATAATGTCGTCAGTCCTAAGACTGGTTCGACACGCACCTCCACTCTTTTAACTATTTGCTAACAGTAATCTAATATAGGTCTACATCTACTCCTCTTAACTCCTGTTTCTGCCTCTAATATGTCACTGACTATTTCTTATTGACTTCCTGTTCTTTCTAATACCTCTTCATTTCAAACCTTCTCTATCCATGGTGTCCTCATCATAAGCATATTTTTTATTTATTAAATATATCAGTCCTTTCGTTAACTAAAACATGTGGAATATATTTTGCACCCATGTCTAGCCGAGGCTATGTCCCGCTTTTCTGAAAACTGCCCCAAAACTAACCAAATTCTCGAAAACAAATCACGACACCCCTTGAAAACTTATGATTATATTTATGGGACTTATTATTACTTTGATATATATATATATATGAAGGCATTTGTACGAATTTTCCTCTACCATGTCGTATTAGTGAATTAACCTTATCCATTAGACATAACCTCAAATTAATAAGGAAATTTCACCATATGGTATTTTTAAAAAAGTGTCCCCTTTTGGCAATTGCATATAGTAGAATATCCCTACATCTTCCGCGTCACTAGTGTATGCCCACAAAACTACTTTTTTACTGACTCCCATTCAGTTTCTCGTCTGTTACAGCCGAAATTTATTAAGTGGATGATGGTAAGGAAGAAAAACAAGAAGGCAAAGATGTAACACCTGCTGTGCGGTTTCATCTTGATTTTTCGTTATCCGTTTAATACATTCTCGTCTATCTTTTAGGATACTAAAAATCTGAATACTAATAATTGTAACGTATCATGTTGTCGGTAAAGAACGATTTTATCGTTAGAAGTGACAATTATTAAGTAGGTAAGGCACCGGGAACGTCGACTCGTTCTATCTTATAGGCACATATCGCCGTTTCTAATTGCACGAAATATTTTATGTGATGTACCCGTGCCGGATGGGGAAATATTTTATGTGAAGAATTTTTAAAAGATCGTTGTGGGTGTTTTAACTTGCCATTTGGTCGTTTTGAATATTCATGCTTAACCTACGACTTCTGTTAGATATAACCATTCATGCTCATTGGTCAAAGAGCAATGGCATCTGTGTTAATTAGGTATGACGTATTTAAAATTTTAACCGAATTTTATCAATTTTAATTCTTCTACAAATCAGTTGTGACCGTTTGTACATCAGATTTAATGACTTAAAGCTAGATTTAATGACTGAATAAAAAATCGCCCTATATCTGAACATATATAAAAGAACCTATTAGGTACGTAGAAAATTATGTTTGTTGAATGATGCGTCATTTACAGATAAGGCACCATCCAAATGTGGGTATTAATAATGTACTATATTCTATGAAAATTATATTTATGAACATCGCTTAAGTTTAATTAACTTTTTACTACGACACTTATTTTGTTGTAAATTACTCTACATTCGATTGTAATATATGCATGTATGTTTTTCCAATTAATCAGATAGATACCTAAATAATTTATTAATTGTTACCTGTTTTGCATCTTCTATAAAAACCATTATAGAAAACTGCTACATTTTATTCTGGGTCTAAAAATGTTCGACAAGGTACAAGTATAGTATTTCGACTTTTCTATCTAAACCCTCGTATATAGCTATCCCAAAGGAGGTATCCACGTAACCAAATAGAACCAAAAAGCTATGGAGTTCATCTATCCAAATTTAAACGGGTTCAACTAGTTACAGTATAGCAGTGTGCTAATATCTATGATTATTGTATACGTTCAGATTTACGATGAAAATCTGTGCGGCTATCTCCTCTTTTGATAGGTACTACCACAGCATAAAGATTTCATACAGTAGGTTCACTGCTTTGATTCGCTGAAAATAACGACGTTCTTGGCATGCCATCATAAAACAACTTTATGTATGTTGAACTTTCATATAAGAGGATGGTTAAAAAGATTTCCCAAAGGGTTTACATAAAAATGTATTTATACTGTGGCTTCACGATGACACCCTGTTCTAATCAGTATTTGCTTAGCTCGGAATTCGTAGATGAAAGTGTATGGGCGTGACTGAGAAGTGAACCTACTGTACAGAATCTTTATACTCTGGTACTACTTTCTAGAATTAAGAATGGTGAACGTTGACGTGTTGAGCGTTTAAATGTCAATGTTCAATCAAGAAATACTATGTTAGTAATGATACGGCTAATTAAGATGATGTTATTGTGGAAAAGGTGAAGTAGAAGTAGCTAGCCCTTAGTCAGTATCATATTTTACGTCCGATGTAGATACTATTTGATTGGCTATCGATATGGTCTTTAATAATTTCTGTGCCAAAATATAACTTTGAAAAGACAATTTTCTTTAAAATAAAAAAATAAATAAACAGTAGAGTTTACAATCGTTGTTATAAAGCGTTCATAACGTCGCGTTCGAGATCAGGTTTGACCGATTCCGTTAGAAGAAGCAATACTTTTTACTGGGCCTCATCGTTGATTATCATTTCATAAATAAATATTCATGAGAAATACGGGAATCACCGAGATATATACACATAAACATCGTACTATAGATGAGATAAGAACACGATGTGATGCCCGTGCCGCATGCCGGTCCATAAATCTCTGAAAACATATTGTTCGGGAAGTTGGCCATGGATGGCTAATAGATATCTCCGTATACATACATACATACATATAGCCGTATGTATACAAACAAAATAAATTTGATCTACATAGGTACGACTATTACGCAAGAAACGAATTTTATTAAATATCAGATCTTATGCCATTGATAAAATATATGAATATGTATATTTTTATTTCTGCGAAAACACCTGCAGAAACTGTGTAAATATGAAAACTATTTTTAGAAACAAACACTTCACTATATATATATAGAGTGATTTGCTAAATTTAAATATTGCAAAGGAAACAATAGAAATTTTGAGTTTCATGAGCTGAACATTCTCTGAACTGACAGAAACATCGAAGCTATTAAATTTAGACTTGTAAAATTGTCCTGAAGACAGACCTGTACTGTTTATTATTTCAACTTTTTCGTGCTATAAAGGGAGAATACGTAATTT